CGATTAAACATTCTGAAGTTTTTCAGTAACCTGAAACCTGTGTCTCAGTGTGATTTACTTCAGCGTTTATTTTCAACAATTTGGACAGGGACAGATACTCAAATAAACAAACACTTGGTTTGATCCAGAACATTTGGTACCCAACGTGGCGCTCCAGGTTGTACCCAACGGACAGCCATCCTAGAAGACACCAGAGATTGGCCTGTCTCCGTGTCTGCGTCGGCTGCTGGAGGGCACCAAAGACAGGTAAATAGCTTGCCTGGAGTCCCTTTGTATATAACCTGTATATTGACTGCCTCCTGGGTGTGAATGTATTTTGCATAAGGGGAAGGAATTTCACAGGATATTTAGCTTTACCGCTGTGAGCGCCGTAAGCGCGTGGCTGGGGTTTGTGCTTTACCGCTGTAGCGCCGTAAGCGCAAGGCTGGGGTTGCTGTGGTAACTTGTCTTCCTTGCATGGTAATTTATCTTCCTTTCAGGACCTCCTTAAACAAAGAGGTCTAGGTAGGAGGGCTAATAATCTTTCCTTCCCTCCCACAATTGCTAAAGGAAGTGATGTATGAACAGGATGTGATGTAAAACACATCATCTCAACTAAGGGTATATAATATAAGGCCAGGCAGGAAATCAGTCTTTTGCTTCCTTTTCTTCCTTGGTGGATGTGATGTTGGACTTGCAGCAGTGAGCCATTACTATATGTGAAGGCCTAACCGTGGGTGAGATCAAACGTGTGGGGAAGGGGATTACTATATAGATAGATTTAAAAAGGGTTGTTGCTCCGTGGGTCTGGGCTGTGTGTTTGTGATAAATTAATAGTATTGTGTTGTTGCCTTCTAATAAATACCTTTTAATGTAGATGAACCTTGTGTAATATATATTAATTTGGTGATTTACCACAGTTGCATTTTAATTGAGGGGGGTCTGTGATTTGCATTGTATTTTCTGTGATATTGTTGGCTGTAGCGTGGTGGGCGCACAGCAGGTTTTATTGTTAGCTGTAGCATAGTGGGCACGCAGCAGGTTTTATTGTTAGCTGTAGCGTAGTGGGCGCACAGCGGATTTTTGGTAGCCGTAGCACTGTGAGCGCGCGGCTGGGGTTTCTTGTTGGTCGTAGCGCAGTTGCACGCAACATTGCAGAGGACAGTTATATTATTTCTAGTCTATTCTTGCTGTTGATAGATACATAAAGGGTTTTGTGGTTTGATTGAATCTGTGTTTTGGGCTTCTGGTTTATATGCGTTCCCACCGTTACTTTTCTAGGACACTGTATTTCTCATGGTGCAAAGCATCTTACAAAAGACAGGGAAAATGCTATTTAACAAAGGATTAACTGTGTAAAGTATCCGTGTTAACCCTTTATTGGCTCTCGCCTATTATAAAAAGTGACTTTCTGCATTGTCTAGTTCTCAGAGCTATTGTTTTGGTTAAATGCTAGTTTAGACAACCTTCATTAATAGAATCTGATCTGTCTAGAGGAGCCTCCCTAACTTGACAACTTGATTTAATATGTGCACTATGTAACCTGTATTATGCAAGTCACATTTATCTCTTCTTTACTTCACTCACTCAATGCAGATACCTAACCTGTTTTCTCTATATTTTAAAAGTGAAGCATTGGTTAGCTTGTTACTTTTGGTTATGGAAAAAAGATGCAATTATCTCCCTCTTCTTTAAACACACAATGCCTCTTTCATATACACACTGCAACCATTTTATACACTTCCACCCCCCTCCACTATACAGATACACGCAAACCTAATAAGTCACTCCCACACATTAGGACAAGGAGAAACACCCCTGTAAAAGGCAGTTTTGACCCCCATGTATATATAGATGCCATTGGGGTGCCAAGGGGGTTGCCAGATGAATTCAAAGCAAGGTACAGAAGGTAGCTAAAATATGTGGCATTGCTATGTCTTCCAGCGGACGGCTGCAGCCAGAGGGCTCGCGTAAGCTGCTTAAAGAGAACAAGGGATTATTGCAGGATAATAACCTAGTTAAGACTGCAGAAGCCTGGTTCAGAGTGGCCAGAGAAATTCAGCAGGAGGGGTGGGTAGAGTAAGAAGTTGAGTTAGGGGGATAGAAATTATATGTATACCATAAAAGTATTTTTAATGCTGAAAGTATTGTTGAAACCCAATGCCAACCATTGCACCATCATGGCACCTGGCATGGAGCCCATTTGCCAATGTCCAGGGTCACCGCCCCCCCCGACCCCTGCCCCTGCCCCTATATACCCTGTCCTTGGAGCGGATGGATCATTGTATTCTCCTGCCCCCATCATGCCTTATCTGCCCGCCCCCGATACGCCTTCCCCCTCCGCCCCTGTCACTTCTACCCGTCATATCCACCCTTGCTCTGCCCTCTCCTCCTACCCCTGCCCCTTCTGCCCCCGTCATGGCCACAACTTCCTCTCCTGCTCCTGCCATCACTTCCTTCTCCGCCCCTGTCATGGCTGCCCTCTTATGCCTGTCATGGCGAACGAACCCCCTGTTACTACTAGGGTTGGAAGGGGGTAGACAGAGCATGGGCTCCCTTCACGTCCCAGTGGGGAGCCCATGCTCCGTCTACCCCTTCCAACCCTCACGTCCTCTCCCCGGCCCATACGGCACTTACGAAGCGCGCAAGTTCCCAGGAGGCCCTGATCCCTCCTCCCAACCCCTCCCCCTGACGACGGTAACCTATTTGGGGGCGATCCTTCATCACCCCATGTTGAGAATCCCCAGAGCCCCCCAGGATGAGAATCCTAGAGCCCAGTTCCTTATGGACGGAGCCCCTTTGATGTATATCTCATTTACCCCACCCCAGGCCGCAATTCTGGTGGGCTCTCTCCCAGATCCAGAGAAACAGCCCATGCCCTTCTACCGAAGGATTGCCCAGATTCCTCTGCATGGCGTGACTTGTTTAGCCTCTGTGAAATTAAAGCAGGAGATGCTTACTGGCCCATTATAGAGAGAAGCTTCTCTAGTGCCCGATTCGCTAGTGAGGCTGCTTTCCCCTCAGGTGTTGAATTCTGTGAACAGATCTGGCTGTGGGCCCAAGCTAAATTAGCTGATTAACAAGATCCAAGATAAGATAGAATCTGTGGAAAAGTATCACTCCGGGTTGTCTCAAATCTTCTCTGACCTGGGTTTGTTTGTACAACAAGGCCCACACCCAAATGCTCTCTGCGGCCTTCGTTGCAAGCCTTAAAGAATCCATTCATAAAGGCCTAATTCTGTCTCGCCCTGAATACAGAATAATCGCTCTGGACACCCTCCTGTTAGTTGCTAAGAGCCTAGAGTCCAATCAAGGAAACCAGCTCCCCTTATATTCTCTCGCCCTGCACAGCTACCCCCACCGACCCCTGGGTATGCACCCTACCTATGAGTCAGCCCTCTATGCCGCAACACCGGAATTGTTTTAACTGTGGTCAACCAGGTAATTTCAAAACAGAGTGTACTGCCCCTAGACAGTTCCAACAGCCTATTATCCCTAGTTCTCAGCTCCTGGTTACCCCACAGCCAATAATTCCGCTGCCAGCTATCCCACTGCCAACTACCCGCCTCCCCCTCCAGCCAATAACCCTTCACCAGCCAGCCGCCCCTACACTGGCCCTGACCAAGCATACCTAGATCTCCTACAATAGGTAACTAGCAAACCTGTCTCACCTACCCCTGTCTTCAGGGGACAAGGGTGGGCCCCTAGCCATAGTGGTCCTACCTGTTGAAGGCAACCCAACCACCTTCTTAGTTGACACAGGTGCAGCCCGATGCGTCCTTAGAGAACAAGACTCTTTTCTGTCTAATATTGATGTTTCTTGTGTAGGTGTAGATGGCACTCGACAGAGTAGCCCATTAACTAAGCCTCTGCAAGTTGGCACTTACCCTGATCTTCTGGCCCGCTTTGTGTTCTCCTCTACCTGCCCAATTAACCTACTGGGAGCAGATGTCCGCTCCCGCTTACAAGCCTCAGATGTCCAGATTCAGTTGTCCTCCCCCCTGTCTACTGCTGACACTTCAGCTCTCTGCTCCATACCCCTTCTGCTCCACATGGAGACTCCTGACAGGGATGCAAGGGTCCTAGCTGGTTCCCCCAGTGCCTTTGCCAGAATACCTGACAAGCTATGGTCCACGGGCCCAGAAGACATTGGACGCCTCCATGTTCCCCCAGTTCTAGTGAGATTACTCCCAGGAGCCAGCCTGCCCCATAAGCCACAGTATCCTCTGAAGCCTGCCCAAGCCCTTGTTAACTCTCAGCAGTAGAGATGTCGCGAACAGTTCGCGAACTTCCCGCGAACGGCTCGCCATGGACCGTTTGCGGCACATCCCGGCCAATCTCCAGCAGAACCTCCCTCCCAGACCCTCCCACCTCCTGGACAGCATCCATGTTGAAGCTGCCTTCCAGGAGCCTTCGCGACATCAGTACTCAGCAGGTCGAAAGCTTATTGTCCAATGGTTCCCTGTTCGGGTGTGAGTCTCCCTGCAACACACCCCTGTTCCCTGTGAAGAAAAAAAAACGAAAAGGGTGAGCCTGAAAAATACAGAATTGTCTAAGATCTCAGAGCTGTCAATGAACCTACTGTCCTGGAAACCTCCATTGTACCTAACTCTCCCACACTTCTGTCTGGGGTCCCTCCTACCTCTCAGTTCTTCACAGTGGTGGATCTGGCTAATGCTTTCATCAGTATACCCCTTGACCCCTCATGCCAATATCTGTTTGCCTTCACCCATAAACGTCAGCAATACACCTGGACTGTCATGCCTCAAGGAGCACAAAACTCTCCCAGTCAATTTGCAAAAGCTATGGCCTCAATCCTGGATTCATGGCAAAAGACTCTCAAGGTCTCTCTGTCCTGCTCCAATATGTGGATGACCTCCTCCTCTGTACTGATGATCTCCTCTGCTACCTTGCTGAACAAGGGTGTAAGGCCTCCAAGAAGAAACTACAATGGTGCCAGCCCTCCGTGGTCTTCTTGGGTCACTGTCTCTCACAGGGCACCCGCCATCTCACCCGGGACTGTCCTCCCAAAGCACACAAGTCTCTCCATGCTTTCCTGGGCCTAATCTACTGCAGGGCCTGGATACCCGAGACCACCTTCCTCATGCAACCACTCTATGATGCCCGGAAGACTGAACCGTTTGCCCTATCCCCGAGGCAAGATGTAGCTTCTTACAACGTGCCATTTCCACTGCCCCAGTTCTGGGCCTACCAGATAATCAGAAGCCCTTCAAGTTGTTAGAGTCTGAAAGACAAGGTCATGCCTCTGGAGTCCTCACACAGTCTCATGGCTTCCGCCAGTGCCCCATTGGCTACTACTCCGGCCTGGATCCCATGGCGAGAGGAGGCCCTTCCTGTTTTCAGGCAGTTTTTGCAGCAAAGGACCTCATTGACAAGACATGTGATTTGGCATAAACTCACCATTCTTGCACCTCATGACATCCTCAACCAGGTCCAGCCCAAGCACCTCTCAGCTGCTCGCCACCTTAGTTTACAGTGCTCTCTTCTGCTACCATACAACGTATCCCTGCAGAGGTGCTACTCCCTTAACCCGGCCACTATTCTGCCACTTCCCAGGGAGGAAATACCCCACTACTGGTACAGCCTAGACATAGACCCAGACTCCATGCTTCTTCTGAATGTGCGCAAGCCCCCCATCCCACGTGACACTCAGCCTTTCCCTCACTGCACCTTGTGGTTCAGAAATACTCCAGGGCACAAACCCCACTATGAAGAAGACCTGTTCCAGCTGGTGGAGGTGCGGCTCATCATAACAGATCTGTTGTTTGATCCTAATGGCAATTGTCTAGCCTTAGTCCACCTGCCTCCAGAGGTAGCTCATCTATACCACCACTGGGACTTAGCTGTCCCCTACATCTCTCTCTCCAAGTCCCCACAGATTTCATGGAAAGAACTTGGCTCATTGGCCAAATCATGGAGCACTGCAGATAAGACCCAGCTTTCTGAGGAGGGTGTCACCCACCAAACCCTGAATTGCAAGACAACTGGCTATCCCCGATTCCACACAGAAACCCCACCCACAGACCAAGATCCAGATGCACCTCATGATTGTTTCGAACAGATGAAACTGGAAACACACTTCCCAATTGTGCATGAGGCTGCCCTACAAGAACCTGAACTCACCCTGTTTGTGGATGGCTCCAGATTTGCTGATGAACATGGAAGATACCATACTGGATTTGCTGTCACCACAGTGGATGAAGTACTTAAAGCATCCCTACTTCCCCCATCCATGTCTGCACAAGAAGCTGAGCTACATGCCCTCACCTCAGCATGCAAGATTTCTGAAGGAAGATGCGCCAATATCTACACTGACTCGATATATGCACTAGGCGTGGCACATGACTTCGGACTAATCTGGAAGACAAGAGGATTCATCACAGCAAATGGCACACCAGTTAAGCACAGCGTGGCTATCAAGGAACTGATGGATGCCCTACTCCTCCCTGAAGAAGTGGCCGTACTGAAGGTAAAAAAAGCTCACGGGAGACTGAACTCAGATGAAGCATGAGGCAACTATATAGCTGATCAAGCCGCCAAACATGCTGTGTATGCACCAAGGGAAGTGGACAGAAGTGTCCACTGAAGAAATTCCCATATTCACCATGAAGACCTTACCCACAGACCTTAAGTTCCTGAAGGCACAACAAGCAGCTGCTGATCCTGAAGAAATTAAAAGCTGGAAACAGAAAGGGGCAACCCTTAAAGATGGGTTGTACTCCAACAATCTCAAGTTCTGTTTACCCAGGAGCATGTACTCAGCAGTGGTCCAATGGGCCCATGGAGCATCACACCTGTCCAAAACACTCTGATCAGCAAATGCTATGAGGCACCAGGAATCACCTCTCTGACCAATAGCTACTGCAAATCCTGCGCCAGGCAGAATGTAAAAAGCTCCCCTGAAGCATCTAGCCAAACCTCACTATCCCTTCCAAAGAATCCAAGTTGACTACATTCAAATGCCAAAGAGTGGTCGAATATGCACTAGTTGTAGTAGATATGTTCTCAAGATGGCCAGAAGCCTACCCAGTCACCCAATAGGAGGAGAGACCGCAGACCAAGTAGTACACCGTGAAAGTTGCTGAGATCACCCCGTGAATTCAACACTCCAGAATCAAACCTGCCTCTGCTCCATGGGAAGTAACGTGTGTTGATCTTGACAACCCTTTGAAACTCCATTTTGAGAGAATATAGATACTTGTTGGAGAAAATATCAACAAGTAGGTGTTTTGATGGCTATAATAATGCCTGACCACCTGCCATCGATGGAAAGCCATGGACCCCAAAAGGAGACCTTGTGAAGCCAAAGAGAATCAGAAGTACTCCTTACCCTGCAGCCCTCACGTTCGGAAGCTGAGGTGCCAACGCCCGGTCGAAGCTTCTTCAGGATCATCTGCTCATCTTGAGTTTGTGGTGCTATTAATATTGAATAAATGATCTGAGTCCACCTGTACTGAGGTAGCATGGTACAGGACTTATACGATAAACAATAAGTAAACGTGCCTTAAGAATAGGGATTGCATAAATGGTGGGTGTTACAAACTGCCGTTTGTAACTGGGATTTTATGTGACAAATTGCCGTGTCCTTGGCTTGTGGAGAAGCCTTATTGCCAGCCTCCTTCCTCATGACTATAGCCCCTCTCATCAGCCCATGCTAAACCTAAACCCCTTGGTGATTTGACTGTGTTTGTGGCATCTGAGCGCTGTTTGGATATATTGAGCGCTCAGATCCAAGCCATCTGGGGATAGGTCGAATGTGGGGGTTCTGTTCAGAATGATAGGCATTATGTATTTTTGCTGTTGTTGAGAATAGAGATACAGGGAGTGCAGAATTATTAGGCAAGTTGTATTTTTGAGGATTAATTTTATTATTGAACAACAACCATGTTCTCAATGAACCCAAAAAACTCATTAATATCAAAGCTGAATATTTTTGGAAGTAGTTTTTAGTTTGTTTTTAGTTTTAGCTATGTTAGGGGGATATCTGTGTGTGCAGGTGACTATTACTGTGCATAATTATTAGGCAACAACAAAAAACAAATATATACCCATTTCAATTATTTATTATTACCAGTGAAACCAATATAACATCTCAACATTCACAAATATACATTTCTGACATTCAAAAACAAAACAAAAACAAATCAGTGACCAATATAGCCACCTTTCTTTGCAAGGACACTCAAAAAGCCTGCCATCCATGGATTCTGTCAGTGTTTTGATCTGTTCACCATCAACATTGCGTGCAGCAGCAACCACAACCTCCCAGACACTGTTCAGAGAGGTGTACTGTTTTCCCTCCTTGTAAATCTCACATTTGATGATGGACCACAGGTTCTCAATGGGGTTCAGATCAGGTGAACAAAGAGGCCATGTCATTAGATTTTCTTCTTTTATACCCTTTCTTGCCAACCACGCTGTGGAGTACTTGGACGCGTGTGATGGAGCATTGTCCTGCATGAAAATCATGTTTTTCTTGAAGGATGCAGACTTCTTCCTGTACCACTGCTTGAAGAAGGTGTCTTCCAGGAACTGGCAGTAGGACTGGGAGTTGAGCTTGACTCCATCCTCAACCCGAAAAGGCCCCACAAGCTCATCTTTGATGATACCAGCTGTGACGAGACCAATCTCGCCACATTGCATTGGAGAAGCCTGGTTGCTCGCCTGCTGCCTTTGGACTATGGTCCCCTTTTAAAAGACTTTATTTTTGCATGCAGAAAAGCTGTATTCGTGCTTTTCTGACGGTTGTTCGGTAGTTTCAATCTACCGAACAACCGTACGAATGACTGGACCACCTGGGAGCTGGAGTGTGCGGGCAATTAACCTCCCTGAAGCTGCGGTTAACCGCAGCTTAATTGATGAATGCTGGGTGGCCGCCATTCGTATCCCGAACACGAGGTCGCGGCCATTTTAAACCATACGAATGAACAGCGGTGTTCGCCTCTATTTTCATGGAACTAAAATCGGACACAGTTTTGCGCGAACACCGCTGAAGCCGCCGACCTCCCTTCTTGTTCGGTGAAAGTGCACGAACGGCCCGGTGTTCGGTGTTTTTGTTTGAATGTCTTATACCCCAGATAGGAATCCCATGGAGCCCATTCATATGAAACTGACTGTGTAAAGACTTTGGCTCCATGGCGATTAAACTGTATTCGTGTGGTCTGAGTGCCATTCACCTAATAATGTGCACTCAGACCTGAGCTATCTGGGGATATGTTACATGTCTGTGGTTTATGTAGTAAATGTTATTTTATGTATTTTAAAGTATTATGCTGGTTTTGTGTTCCCACATGTGTAATGGAGTTTTGCCTTTGTCTTGGGAGATAATTGAGTTACTTCACAATTATATCCCAGGGCAGAGGGGAGGAAGCCAGGATGCATTGTGGGAATATACTGTGACTGTGTGTCCTATTTGTATACTTGTCTGTCCCTTGTCACAGTCTCCCATTTGGTCCCCTAGGGGAGTGTCCACCAGGTGGGAGACCTGCATAAAAGCCAGGCAGGTAGCCCTCATTAAACAGACCACTGCTTGACCCTCAACACAGAGCCTTGTCTCGTTCTTGGGGGGATTCACTGTATGCTGTTAGAGACTGATTGCCAAGAGTGTAAGCTGATCTGTCTGCTTTTCCTGTTCGTCTGCTAGCAGCTATTTGGGAGGTTCCAGTTCGGGAGTTGGAGTGCTATTTTGTATCCAGTTCGGGAGTTTGGTGTTCTGCAGTAGCTGTGCCTGTATCTCTGGAAAGGGGGCCGATCGCCTAAACGGTTTTTACCCCTTGTGTGCAAAACGGTCCGTTACACCAGCCCAAACCAGTACTCCACCTCCACCTTGCTGGTGTCTGAGTCGGACTGGAGCTCTCTGCCCTTTACCAATCCAGCCACGGGCCCATCCATCTGGCCCATCAAGACTCACTCATTTCATCAGTCCATAAAACCTTAAAAAAATCAGTCTTGAGATATTTCTTGGCCCAGTCTTGACGTTTCAGCTTGTGTGTCTTGTTCAGTGGTGGTCGTCTTTCAGCCTTTCTTACCTTGGCCATGTCTCTGAGTATTGCACACCTTGTGCTTTTGGGCACTCCAGTGATGTTGCAGCTCTGAAATATGGCCAAACTGGTGGCAAGTGGCATCGTGGCAGCTGCACGCTTGACTTTTCTCAGTTCATGGGCAGTTATTTTGCGCCTTGGTTTTTCCACACGCTTCTTGCGACCCTGTTGACTATTTTGAATGAAACGCTTGATTGTTCGATGATCACGCTTCAGAAGCTTTGCAATTTTAAGAGTGCTGCATCCCTCTGCAAGATATCTCACTATTTTGACTTTTCTGAGCCTGTCAAGTCCTTCTTTTGACCCATTTTGCCAAAGGAAAGGAAGTTGCCTAATAATTATGCACACCTGATATAGGGTGTTGATGTCATTAGACCACACCCCTTCTCATTACAGAGATGCACATCACCTAATATGCTTAATTGGTAGTAGGCTTTCGAGCCTATACAGCTTAGAGTAAGACAACATGCATAAAGAGGATGATGTGGTCAAAATACAGGGAGTGCAGAATTATTAGGCAAATGAGTATTGTCTGTACCTGGAGATAGATGGCTTACCACACCCAGTTAAGCCAAATATCTCCAGGATAGAGGACTCTGTGGAACTGGTTTGGGCTGGAAAGCCATGCTTCAGTGGTCACAAAGGACTTTCGACCTAACTTTTGAACCACTGGACCAATTTGTATGATTTTGACTTATGTTTGTATTTGGAGTATGCTGATTCTGAAAATGTATTTGAATGTGATGTATACTTTTTTTTTATTTTTTATTTTTGGCGTGTCGTTACATTGCACTTTGGCATTTAAGTAGGTATAACATAGTACATATGTATATAAAAAGTGTAATGCGATTCTTACAGTATTATGTTCATTGTCTCAAGATTCGGTGTACTTTTGTTGGCGACACATGTTAAAAAAAAATAAGCGGTGAACAATTAACCTGTTAGAAAATGTCTCTTTGCTCTGTGTACCTCTGCTCATTATTTACTCAAAATGGCTGCTAAAGCACTCCCTCCCATTGACCAAACACCTCGTGTGATAAGATGGCATCTTCATTCTGAGTTACACGAGGATGATGATGAAGATGATGTCACATCTTGGGGGAAGTACATTAGATAAGACACTTGACCAATTAAAGTTGTATTTTGCATATTATGTATTGATGTATTTCTGCCTTTATAAAGAAGTTTGAGTTTCAGAAAGCAGGAAGACATCCAGTCAGAGATGGAAGAAAGGCAAGCAGTGACACGTTGCAGGACAGCAGGGGAGATATATCTGGGTGTCATCAGCGTGGCAGTGGAATGAGGTAATAAGTATAATATATACTGCTATAAAGAGAAAATAGAAGGGGACCAAGTACAGAGCCTTGGGGGACTCCAACAGAGACAGGACGAGGGGAGGAGGTATCATTAAAAAAAGGAGACATTGAATAAGCATTGGAAGAGATGAGAGGACCGAGTGATTGAAGAGTTTGAAGGAGAGCATGATCAACGGTGTCAAAGGCAGCAGAGAGGTCAAGAAGAATTAGTAGCATTTGGATTTAGCTGCGATTAGGTCGTTAGTAACTTTGATAAGAGCAGTCTCAGTAGAGGGGAGAGGGCGGAGAAGCCAGATTGAAGAGGGTCAAGGAGAGAGTTTGAAGTGAGAAATATGGGTAAAGAGAAGTCTTTCAAGAAGCTTTGAGGAAAAAGGGAGCAGGGATATGGGACGGTAATTAGAGGGGGAGGACGGGTCACCAGATTTTTTTTTTCAGGATAGGTACTACAGTGGCATGTTTAAGGTCAGCAGGGACAAGCCAGAAGAGAGAGCAGTTGAAGATGTGTTTTAAGAAAGGCACAAGACAAGGGGAGGGAGATCTGATAAGGAGAGATGGGACAGGATCGAGCAGGCAAGTGGTGGGTCGAGAGGAAAGGAGAAGTGCAACCACCTCTTGTTCAGTAGCCGGGGAGAAAGAATGGCAAGGTGGGGAGAATTCTTTCCTTAGTTGTTCAATCTTGTCAGTAAAGTAGCATGCAAAGCTATCGGCTTTAAGGCTAGTTTGGGGGGTGGCCACAGGAGGGGGAAGAAGAGAGTTAAAGGTATCAAAGAGACATCTGGAATTGCGAGAGCATGTACTAATGAGAGAGGAAAAGTATGACTGTTTGGCGAGGGCAAGGACTGCGCTGTATGAACACAATATGAATCTATAATGGAGATAGTCTGCCTGGGTGCGAGACTTCTTCCAAGGGCGTTCAGCACAATGGGAGCATCTTTGCAGGTAGCGAGTTGATGTAGTATGCCACGGTTGGGGGCGTGCCTGTAAAAGACCCCCTGTTTCTGGGTCTGTAGTTGTGTAAAACCAGCTGTTCGTGTAAAAATCTTTGTTTAATGGATGTACAATAAAGGCCATTCTAATACCGAATTTTTCACTGACAGCCCCAACACCCAGAAAAGAAGTGTGGCACTCATTTACTTCCCTGACTCTATCACTGTGAAAACCGCAAACACTCCATTGTTTTAATTGCTATACAGGGTGGTTGGCGTTCATTTGCACGAACACGTGACGGCGGCCATTTTGTTTAGCCGAATGCACTCAGCGGTGTTTGGTCGTCGAACGTGTGGAACTATTTTCGGCTGCACTTTTCCACGAACACCGCTGAAACTTCCATCCTCAGTGCTGAGAATCCTCCTCACTGATCGGGAAAAGGACACCCTCCAGTTGTGGAAACACCTCTAGCCGGGGTAATTAGGTCGAGGGTATTGCCAGCTACATGGGTGAATTAGGAGGGAGGGAGGAAGTAATTGAAAGTAGTTTAGAGGCTGCAGAGATCAAAGGTGAGTTAATGGCAATATTGAAGTCCCCGAGAATTACGGATGGAATATTAGAAGAGAGGAAGTAGGGTAGCCAGGCAGCAAAATGGTCAAGGAAGAGGAGAGGGGAACCAGGGGGCGATAAATAACGGCAATGTTAGCAGAGAAGGGTTTGAAAAGGCGAATCAAATGATGGTAAAGAGAGGGAAGGGGGTCGGGGGTAGAGGCTTGAAGGAGCAGTGAGGTGAGCGGAGAAACCCTACACCACCACCTTTACATTCAGAAAGTCTTGGGTTGTGGGTAAGTTGAAGACCACCCAAGGATAAAGATTCAGGGGTAGCAGTGTGAGAGGGGGAGTGCCATGTTTCTGTTAAGTCTAGTAAATCTAGGGAATGAAAGATGAAGAGGTTGTGGACAGCAGTGGATTTTGTAATATTGCAAAGAGTGTGCATTCCAGAGGGCAGTATTGAAGGAGGATTTAGAGTAACAAGAGATAGGTATGAGATTGGTGTGGTTTCTTGAGTTCGTACGTGGTGTGTTTGTTAAGATGGGACCGGGGTTTGGAGAGACATCACCAGCTGCTAGGAGCAGAAGGATAGAAAGGAAATGAAGATGGGAGTAGGATGTGAAAGTTTATATCCCCCAAAAGAAGACTTGCATGCATTTAATAATTCTGCAAGCCCTCCCCTTCTAGCCACGCCTAGACTTTCTGTAACTCTCCAACCACAGACTTCCCAATGCAGCTCAATGAGAAGTCTGTGCAGGGCAGTTGTTCTGAGTAATTGCCTGCTCCTTAAGTTTAGCTCCACTGAGCTAACAAACAGGAAGTAACGGGACCTGTTTCATGCTTGAAAGTCAATGGGGTGTAACCAGGTTAATTTAGAAAAGTGCCACTTTCTATTGAAATCTGCACTTTTTGCAATATTCAGTTTTTACCAAGCTAAAGTGCTCTAGAGGTTTGGAGTGTCCCTTTAAAATCTATGGCCTAATTACAATTTCATTGCGCCCAGGACATACCGTATTTTTCGCTCCATAAGACGCACTTTTTTTCCCCTCAAAAGTGAGGGGAAATGTCTGTGCGTCTTATGGAGCGAATGTGAAGAATTACTTACCTGTCTTGGAGCGTGGGCCGGCTTCACAGCGCGCTCCGCGGTCCAGGAACTTCTATTTCAGGTTCCGGTTTCCGGCGGGACTGAAAGGAAGTGTGCACACTTCCTTTCAGTCCCGCCGGAAACCGGAACCTGAAATATTAGTTCCTGGACGGCGGAGCGCGCTGTGAAGCCGGCCCACGCTCCAAGACAGGTAAGTAATTATGGGACAAGGGGAGGGGAGACACTATGGGAGAAAGGGAGGGGACACTATGGGAGAAAGGGAGGGGAGACACTATGGGACAAGGGGAGGGGAGGAGACACTATGGGACAAGGGGAGGGGAGGAGACACTATGGGACAAGGGGAGGGGAGGAGACACTATGGGACAAGGGGAGGGGAGGAGACACTATGGGACAAGGGGAGGGGAGGAGACACTATGGGATCAGAACACTAATGGACAAGGGGAGGGGAGGAGACACTATGGGACAAGGGGGGGACACTATGGGACAAGGGGAGGGGAGACACTATGGGACAAGGGGAAAGGGGAGGGGGAGACACTATGGGACAAGGGCAGGGGGGGACACTATGGGAGGGAAAGTGCACTATGGGACAATGGGAGGGGGGGACACTATGGGATCAGAACACTAATGGACAAGGGGAGGAGGGGTTAAAGAACACTATGGGACAGGGTAGGAGGGGTTAACAATCACTATGGGACAGGGTAGGAGGGGTTAACAATCACTATGGGACAGGGTAGGAGGGGTTAACAATCACTATGGGACAGAGGAAACAATTATGGGACAGGGTTAAAGATCATTATGGGACAGGGGAGAAAAAAATATATTCTGAACAAACTGTCCCATGGTAAGAAACACTATGGAACAGTTTGTTCAGAATATTTTTTTTTCTGGGTTTCCTCCTCTAAAAACTAGGTGCGTCTTATGGTGAGGTGCGTCTTATGGAGCGAAAAATACGGTACTTTAAACCGAGAGAAATCTCAATGTATCTTTCCTGGTTTTATAAAGACACATTTTGGTTTAAATAGTTTTGATTAAATTTATCCAAACAGTTTTAATAGAACCAATAAAGTTTAAGTTTTAAAGGGATTACACAGCCAAAACCATGATTTAGCAATAATGTGTAGTTATTTTTTTTTTTTACTGTGTCAATAAGCTATTGTGCAGAGAATTACCATTAAAAGTACACTTCAAACGAGGGGGTGGGGCCTGAGCTCCAAGATGGCCAGATGTGTTTCTCAGCAGCTTCTTCATACTTTAGATAAAATTAAGCAAATAACTCTCCAAATCCAGCTACATGAGGTCCTGCATAGCCATCAGACCGAGGTTTCTGTAACAGCTACCTACTAAGCCTGAATTGTAGTATACTTACCTTGCCCAACTCTGAGGCTTGTTGAGAGGGCGACTTAGTGGCTGATCTCCTTAATCTGGGCTCACATCTTACAGCGAGATACTTACAGCCCATCATCTCCCTTTGGACTGGTGGGGGATATCACGGTCCCCACTGAGTGATCTCCTGAATCTAGGTAAGCAACAAAGCGATCAACAGTGATAAGCGGCAAAACCTCCTTGGAAGTCACATAACTGGCGTGGTAATTAGAGGGGATCCCAAGACTCTGTTCCGATTTCTACCTGCGGGGTGGACTGTACCAGAGCCTGGGGCCGGTGTGGCAGAGCTCAGAGGAATCAGTGCCCTAAAGGGCTGTTGGAAAAGCAGTATTGTTTAATGGGTATAGGGTGAGCATACTCCTTGCCACAGAACCTGAGTTCTACATTTCTTTAGGCCTCTAGGCTCACACAGGGCAGTGTTTTATTTCCTTGCTTTTCTTTCATCTCGCTTAAGGTTTTCAGTTTTAGGTTTTAATTGTAGGTTGGCACCAGTGGTATTATTTATCTGATAATACAAGTATGTTGGTAATATTGGGCATCCAACCCTTAATCAGTTTAATAACAAGCAACCAGTGCTTCAGTCTTGCATCAGCTCTAGACAAGTGTTTCCCGCCTAATTATATTTTATATTGTTATCTAACTTTAAAATAGAGGCAGTCTTACATTGCAGACAAACAACAACAAGAAAATAGTGCAATTTCCTTGATTTTCCATATTATATGCCCTCATGGGAATATCAATTCCTTTCTGTATGTTTATCATTGCACATTCAAAATAAAGAACGTAAGAAAAAAAAAAAAAGTACACTTAAATGAACAAAAATACTACAGCCACAAGTAGTGATTATAGTGCCAAGAGTACACTGTAGTTATTTCACATGGTAAGTAATCAAACCTTTTTTGAACTTGACAATTATCTAATGGTCTTCTCTGATACAGTCAAAGCTATAGTTTCTATTTGGACTTAAAGAGACAATACTGTCACCAGAACTACTACTGCTTAGTATAGTCATTCTGGGACATGTAGACTTTTCAGAAAAAAGAAAGCGTTTATAATGCTGCCTAAGACCAATTTTCTGTGTCTCCACACTGCCCATAGAGATGTATTAATTCTATGATAATCCAGATTGATGATCTCTGCCTAGGAGGCTGAACTGAGAACTGAAATGTAAGTAATTATCTTTATTTCTTTCATTTAGGTGGGCCCAGGTATATAGTCACCACAACACTATAGCGTTCTGAATACATGAGAATCTTATCAACTATTTGGCATAAAGTTTGCACATTAGTTGTCTTTTCAGTGCAAGTATAGTTTAGTGAATAGACACTGCAGTATTTGTAACATACAGAAACAATGTTGAAGCATTCAAAATGTTCTTGATGTTCTCTCAATAACTCAGAAGCAAAGAGTAAAGTGTGAAATTACACATCTAAATACATTTACTAATTCATCAATTCACAAAACTAATTTTAGTTCAATATAAATAAAAAAAACAGCTGTTTAGGGCTCTGCTAACTTATGCATTTAAGTTAAGCAAAGGAATTTAATGTGTAAACACTGGCTTAGAACAAGCACCTGAAATGTGACATTAAAATGTCACAATCTTGAAAATCATATAGAACGAGACAATCTGTATGTGCAAAGTGCAAATGAGATACACTGGAAAAAAAAACTTTCAGCTAACTTATGTCCACAGATGAGCCACGGAAATGAACGTTACATCACAGGTCAACACACAGTAGCAAATACACTGCCTTCCATTATGTTAAATATGATATTCTCTAAGTGGTATTATAAATATCAGTGTGTGTTCTCTATGTTCTCAAAACATAGCGATGTGACAAGTAGAAAAAGGTTTCTGTCTTAGCGCATTATCAAACAAAGAGAGGACGGAGAAAAGAAAAAAAAGAAAGGGAGTGATTAGAAAGAAAACTTAAAAGGAATTCATGTTGAAATTAATCAAGAAACAAATATTTACAGTTAACACCATTTAAAGGGCAGTTGTTGTGAGTGTTTTAACTAAATTGCATCAGTGAGTGATCCAAATCTTTTATGTTCACATAATGTTTTCAAGTGAAAACAATGTATCCACCAGGTATTTCAGGAAATGCTTACAGTAATACTTAAATATTTTCTCTGTACACATTTTGTTTAAAGATTTAGTGAATGTAAACATGTTTAAAACCATGTCAATATCTAAATCTGTATCAGATCATGCATTCTGCCTTTCCCTACCAAACACACACAATCAGATATTTCTTGAGCAATGGAGGCAACAGCCTTGATGCCTGCGGGATAAGTTAAAGACAGAAAATATTATAAATGTCCATAGGCATGATCTTGTCTGGAATTAGGAAAAAAGATGAGAGGTACAAAAACCACCACTGCCCAGAAGAAGCAGCCACCTCTCCTTACAATCATCCTCAAATATTGGCAGAGTTGGTTAAAACTTAAAAGGTCCATGGTGAAGGGAATGAAATACTAAAATGAAAGTTGGTCCATGGCTGGAATTCTCAATTGACATTTTACACCCTCCCCCCACTTATTTCTCTATCAACCCCCCATCCTTCAGTTTGAAGTAAAAGAATTTTTCCAGCGTGTTGGCACACTTGCAGTAATCGCTGTCTGGTGGGTTGTACTCTCGACAGTTGGTGATGATTCTTTGGAGATCGGCAATGAAAATCTTCTTGGTCACATAATATCTGTTTTTGAGTCTCTCCGTCATGGTTTTCAAATCTAAATATTACAATCAACAAAGGTACAGCAATATAAAATGCTTTAGAGGGCTTTGTATTTTATATACAACATTAGTTCATAACAATTTAATCTTAAAGAGACACTATAGTGACCAAAACAACTCTAGCTTAATGAGGAAAAGGAAAATGAAAGTGTGGGTACACTGAAAACTGGGATGAGGGTGGTAGTTAATGAGGACCAGGAAAGATATTACTTGCTACAAAGGGATTTAAATAGTAATAGGGATTTAATTCTCGGGATGAGAATATAATTTTGCCTCTTTATAAATCAATGGTAAGATCACACCTTGAATATGCTGGGCACCTGTTCTAAAGAAGGATATTATGGCACTAGAAAAAGTGCAGAGATGAGCAACAAAATGAATAAAAGAAATGGAACATTTTAGTTATGATAGCATTATACAAATATACTCAGGGCCAATACAAACCATTATCTTGAAATCTATTCATAAACAGAATACACAAGGTCACGCATTTAGAGTGGAAGAAAACAATAAGGATGTGGAATTACCAGAGTATGTACAGATGTTTAAACAGCAACTGGATGAATACTTGCAAAAGCACAATATTCAGGGATGTAAATTTTAAATTGTGGGGTAATAGCTTCTTCATCCAAGGTGAGATCCGACTGCCATTCTGGGGTCAATGAGGATTTTTTTTTCCCCCTAGTTGTTGCAACATTGGAAGCACTTCAAACTTTTTTGTTGCTTTTTTTCCTTTGGATCAACAGCAATAACAGATGTGAGGAAGGCTGGGATTGGAATCTGGTCTCATTTAAGCTATGTAGATAGACAAAAACGCTAAACCTGGATATGAAGGGAAAGTTGGTCTGTGAGAGTAGAATCAACTAGAAATAAACCCTTCATAGAGTAAAAATAGACTTAAGGTTGTACCATATAAAATTGTAGAATTGGAGCCTGGGATAGGAACAAGGATAAGGTGTCGGGTTGCGTACAAAGATTGGGGGGTAACCCCTAGAAATAGAACTAAATAAGAGAGAAAAGAAACAAAGACAGAGAAACCAGGAATAAAGAAGTATATATATCCTAAAGGTTCCCTGTGATTGTTAAGCAACCCAAAAGTAAAAGATAAAATATAACTTTTATTAAATGCCTTCTAAAAGTCAATAACTAGTAAAGTGAGTAAATAGAGTAAGTAAAAAAGGCCTACTAAAGGGAGAGGAGAATAGAGTTTCTGCAATAGCTCAGTAGTTCCAAAGAATGTAGAAAGAATAATGATCTAGTGGATGCTATAAAACATCCCATAAAGTCTAGAAAGTATTAAGCTATATAACCCTAATGTAGTAATTGCTGACTCCTAACTCCCATTAATCTAAGGCTGAAATCATCTGCCTAGTAAAGACAATCAACAAAAACCTCAAAGGAAGGTGCTAAGAGGTAGAAAATATTAAGTAATAAACTAGAGAGAGGGTGATAATGTCTAAAACATTATACTAATTCTGGCTGCAGCATCGTCCCCACAAAGTCTCTAACCACCCGCTCATAAAAAGACTTTTTATGAGCGGGTGGTTAGAGACTTTGTGGGGACGATGCTGCAGCCAGAATTAGTATAATGTTTTAGACATTATCACCCTCTCTCTAGTTTATTACTTAATATTTTCTACCTCTTAGCACCTTCCTTTGAGGTTTTTGTTGATTGTCTTTACTAGGCAGATGATTTCAGCCTTAGATTAATGGGAGTTAGGAGTCAGCAATTACTACATTAGGGTTATATAGCTTAATACTTTCTAGACTTTATGGGATGTTTTATAGCATCCACTAGATCATTATTCTTTCTACATTCTTTGGAACTACTGAGCTATTGCAGAAACTCTATTCTCCTCTCCCTTTAGTAGGCCTTTTTTACTTACTCTATTTACTCACTTTACTAGTTATTGACTTTTAGAAGGCATTTAATAAAAGTTATATTTTATCTTTTACTTTTGGGTTGCTTAACAATCACAGGGAACCTTTAGGATATATATACTTCTTTATTCCTGGTTTCTCTGTCTTTGTTTCTTTTCTCTCTTATTTAGTTACATATAAAATTGTAACTAGTAGACACAAATGTCCTCAATCAAGCCACAAAATCTCAATAAGATAATAAATTCAATAATAGATCCTCTGTACAGTCAAAATTCTAATATTGGATGATTGGTAACGTCCTAATCCTATCCCCTGTGCCCTGGAACAGCCAGGTAGTGGCGAAACGCATGTTGGGATGTTGGTGTATGTGGTAGGCTGAGGAGATGTCTTAGACACAAAAGAATTGGAAATAAAATAAAAATAAAAAAAAGTGTTAAAGGGACTCTACAGGTAGGGAATTTTACTCACCTGGTTCCAGCACCGGGAGCCTTGTGAAGCCGCGCCCCCTATTTCGTCAAAATGACGAAATAAGAGGGCGCGACCAGGGAGCAATCAGACGCTTCCATTTGGAAGCGTCATTGCTCCCTTGTGCGCATGCGCGGCTTCGCCGCACATACTTCAGAGGGCGGCATTCATGCCGCCCTCTGAAGTTCTGAGCGCACTACCACGCAGGCGCGCGGTGTGCACGGCCATGAGCTGAGCTGACTGACAGCTCAGCTCGCTGTCTTTGCCCGCCTCCTCTGCTGACAGGCAGGAGAGAGAGAGAAGGCGCACACACAGTGCCTTCTCTCTCCTGCACACGTCAGATGTATTTTAAAGGACCACTCTAGGCACCCAGACCACTTCAGCTTAATGAAGTGGTCTGGGTGCCAGGTCCTTCTAGGGTTAACCCATTTTTTCATAATTATAGCAGTTTCAGAGAAACTGCTATAATTATGAATGGGTTAAG